TTGTGTCAATGCCGGTGGCGTTCAAGGGTAAACAAAACCTATTTGTCCCAGTTAACGGAGCTGCCGAAGTTCAAATATTGGGGGTCATTCAACCCTCTTTATTTCATTCCCTTGTCTGTTTGTCTTTCATAGACCCTTAAATTCTTCTGATTTGATTCTGTTTTTGTTGGCTTTCTACTTAATTTTGACCCAGGTCTCTGCAGCAAAGGGGGGAGCTGATAAAGCATACCTACTTAGCTTGAAATTGCCCCTTCCAAAAACCAGCCCGTCTGCCAGATTTTGGCCATTGAATCCTAGAAAAATTATTTAAACCTACATGTCATGATCGGATGTAAGTCTCATCTGAGCTAGTAGCCCCCTGTCCTCTGAGCCTAGGAATGAGTTAAAAAAAACAACAACTGTAAGGCAATTGGTTGCATCAAGGACCCTTTTCTTATAGAAATGGTTCTCCAGCACGCTTGTAAAATAAAATTTTGTCTGCCTCTCAGTTTGATAGGCCAGATAACGGGGAGCCTTACCAGTCCTCAGCCTTGACAAGCCACAAAGCTTTGATGTCAGAAAGGAAATAGTGTTATTTTCTATCAGTTTCTCCTTCTCTTTTAATACGTCCGCTTGGTTCTTGATGCGGTAAATTCCCAGGAATAAACAACTAAGCTCGGTTTGGGTTGAAATGACGCATGTGAAAAGCTTTTATTCCTTCTCAGTGCTTTACAAGCTGTATTTAGCATTGGTTTTTTTTGTGTGTGTGTTTTTTGTTTGGAGATTAAAAAGATACTTCATTTTCTAAGGATGAGAGAGGAAGGATGTCCAATTATCACTTGAAAAAGACACGTCTTTTTTTTCCCAATTTGGGCTTATCAAAAAGCCAATTTGTTCTGTGTACTTCATTGGATTCCTTTTAGGGTTTTTTGGGGTTTGTTTTTTTTTAGCTGCCTGCCCTCCTCCCTTTTAATTTGATCAAAATTGCCTTTTATGCCGCTGGAGTTTTTCTCCCAATTGTGCATGCCGAATTAGAACTTAATACAGCCTGGCGAATGGGGTTCATAAAACTTATTATCGTATCTCGGGGTCGATAAGACATCGCTCATTTTGCGTCCCTGACTTTTTGGTTGCTTAAGGCGGGAGGCGGCGGAAAATCTTGCAAATCTTGGCTTGTTGCTGTTTGCAAACCCTCTCCGATCCCTGTTTGCCCCAGGTAACCAGGACTTTTAAGAAAACTAGGTCTCAAGCTACTTATCCCAACCGGGAAGTTTTGCCCCCTTGGAATTTTCCCCAGGCTGATTCATACCAAATTGGTAAAAGTAGATTTTTTTTCCTCACCTTTGCCTGTCCAGGCTGTGTGTGGATGGATGTGCAATGCACACTCTATTCTTCGTTTCTGCGTCCCCCTTTTCTTAATATCGATCCGCTCGTCCTGCACCCGGCGCCTTTAGGATTTGCAAAGCCCATTTGCTCACCGAGAGCGCCATGTTCCGTTTGTGCGTTTGTGCGTTCTCCAACCTTGCATCCTTTCATCCTGGGCCTAGCACTGGCTGTGCTTTGAGCCCACTGACCACCAACTGCACACACCTGTCAGCAGGTGCAGACACGTGCTGTCACTGTTTTGGCAGTTTTGGCAGTGACATTCCCCCCCCCCAGCCTCAAATTGATGTGGCTCAGTGAGAAATTTCTTAAGTGAGTTTTGCCCCATTCGTTAAGTGAATCACTGCAGTCCTGAAATTAGTCACAGGGTTGCTAAGGTCGCAAAAGGGGATCATGTAACCCCAGGGCGCTGCAACCGTCATAAATGTGAAGCATCTGAATGTAAATCAGGTGACCGTGGGGGAGGTTGCAACGGTCGTAAGTGTGAAAAACGGTCACAAGTCACTTTTTTCGGTGCCGTTGGAACGGTCACTAAATAAACTGCCGTAAGTTGAGGACTACCTGTATTCTCAAGGCCCGGCAAGGCGCGTCCTTACCGTGTTGCTGTTAAGAGGGTCCGGACGAGAAACAGTGGTTGGAAACTGACCAAAGAGAGAAGCAACCTGGAATTAAGGAGAAAGTTCCTAACAGTGAGGACAATTAACCAGTGGAACAGCTTGCCACCAGAAATCGTGGGCGCTCCGTCACTGGAGGTTTTTAAGAAGAGTCTGTCTGAGATGGTATAGGGACTCCTGCTTGAGCAGGGGGCTGGACTAGAAGACCTCCAAGGTCCCTTCCAGCTTCTATTCCTATTCTGTTCTGTTCTAAACTTGAAAACTCTGAATATTGAATTTTTTTTCCCTTCGTAGGCTTTGCTCCAGCTTGGATATGGCGGTGCCCTGCGTGTTCCTTCTAACTGTTCTGGGAGCAGAAGTCACCAGCAAATCCCCCGACAGCTTGGTAGGTATGGCTCGTGGCTGCGGGCTCAAATCCAGAATAAAAAAAAGAAGGGATAGAAAAGAGAGAGGCTCAGATTTAGCCACTGAAACCCCTCCCTCCCCCCTTGATCTGGACACAGAAACTTTATAAGTAGCATAACCACTGCCAGGCTCCTTGGCTCATGAGTTCACGGACGGCCCTACTCCTGGAGTAAGTCTCAGCTCTAACAAGCCACATTAAGTTCAGCTTTTCCCTACATTGGGGATGCTAAGAGGGAGATTCAGTCTGGGAAGCCATCATCTGTTCACCCAGAGAGTGTCCTTAATTTGCTCCGGAAGACGACAGCATCTTAATCCTGATTTCCAGTGGTGATTACTGATCACGTCCAAAGGATATTAACCTGTAGATCGGATCAGCCTGGATTTGTGAATGAGAAGGCTGGGTTTTTTAAAAAACAAAACAAAACAAAACTGGGGAGAGTGTTTTCTGTAGAAAACCTCTGCTGCCTCTGCGTGAATAAAAGAGGAATTTATTTCCGGATTGTAAATTAAAGATAGATCAGCCAGACAATCCGGGGACCTTGTTTCAGGAAGATTTCCTTACCAGATTTATTTCAAGGCTTTCTACGATGGCAGAGCATCTAATGCAGTGTTTCTCAACCTTGACCATTTTAAGGCATGTGGACTTCAACTCCCAGAATTCCACAGCCAGCATTGCTGGCTGTGGAATTCTGGGAGTTGAAGTCCACATGCCTTAAAATGGTCAAGGTTGAGAAACACTGATCTAATGTAACAGTCGCTCCCTGAACTGTTGTTAAGTTGAGGACTTGTCTTGTGTTTTTTAAGTCGGTTTTTCCAATACTATCCTGGGAAAGGCGACCATATCTCATCTCCCTGGTTTCAAATCCCAAACCCGGCGCCGCGCCTGGATTGAATTGTTCTTTGTGTGTGCCATTGATCAATGCTAGAGCCGGCTTCCCAGCCATGGGCCGTGCGGCGTGCTACAACTTCAGGAAGAAGAAGAATATGGCTCAGGATCAGCGGGCCTTAAAGCATCCGAGCGATCAGCACTTGGCAGGAAAGACAATAAGTCTGCGAGAAAAGCTTGGCTGGAGATCCGGGCGGTTGCGTTCTTGACAACTCATTTAAAAAAGCCGGCTTTCTGGATCGATCCCACCAGTCTTGATAAAACCCCGGGCTCTGGAGCCCGGCCAGCCGCTCAAACCTCACACACAAGGCAGCAGCACCGTGTTCCTTCTGGGAACCCGGGCTCCAGACGGTAGAGGAAACAGCAGCTTTGAAAAGTAGAAGAGCGGAGGAACACGGAGAGCCCGTGCCCAGCGCGGGATCCTTTGCGAGGACAGAAATGTGCTTTTTAAGCGTTCGCGGGGAGATCGCCGGGATGGCGTGGAGCCGAGCGGCTCTGGGCAGGGAGCCAAAAGGAAGCCACTGACAACTCACGACGGCGTCTGGGTGGGTTTTTTCGCTTCGGTGGGAAATTTTGCTATTTATTGATCGAAACGTACAGGCCGATCCGGTCTGGGGAAAAAGCCGGGAGGAGCTGATCTTGGGACGACTCGCACCCGCTTTTTGTGCTTCTGCAGAGATTCTTCCTGGCTTTGCAGACCTTGAATTGAATGGAATGCTTTGTTTCATTTATACACGGATGAGGTTTTTTTAGCCTGAAAGCTGCATTTAGGGATTTTTAGATGCTTTAGTCCCAGATATGTGGTCTGGAGGTAATCCTCAACTTACAACAGTTTGTAAGTACTGACCTAACAACTGCAGGGATTCACTTAACCACCGTGGCAAGATAGGTCGTAAACTGGGGCAAAAATTCACTTAACTGTCTCGTTTAGCGACTGAAATTTTGGGCCCGATTGTGGTCGTACGTCGAGGGCCATCTGTATATGAGGCTGCACAGAGTCTCCTGTCCGTTCTAGCCTAGCTAACGTTACATTCCAGAGCGATGAAAGTCTATAATCTGCTCTCTCCTCCATTAACCATCATCCCCTGAAACTCACTAGGGGCTAGCCATGGATCTCAGCTCTTCTGAAGTGGCCCTTTCCCTAGTAGCCATGAGTCGCAGAGGCCAGACATTTTCCCAAAGCGCTGAAGGAGAAACAGAGTCCACAGCACCCCAGGCAGCCCCTCACTGTCTCTCTTCTCCATATTTTGGGGTGCCCAGAAGGATGTTTGGGCGAGAACGTGGGCCAACGTTTTATTAAACCATGATGGAAGGGAGAGACGGTTGTCAGCACATCTGTGTCCTTTCTGGAACCGAGAAAGGGATTGGATTTGATTTGCTTGGACAGTTTTGTGCCTGTCCAGAGGCTGCGATGTCTCTGGAGAGGTTTATGGCGGGCGTCCGACGAAGCATTTTTTGCAAGTGGAGGATGCTTCTCGCCGAGGATCTCCGACGAGCTTCGGAGGCTGGATTTTAAATTTTCTTCCTTTTTTTTTTTTTTTTTTGCTCCTCTCCTTTGTCTGAGCAGGCGAAAATGTAGCTCCTTTGGGAGAATTGGGCTGGATCACCAAGCGAACGTTATTTGGCCTCGTTGTACACCAAGCTGCGTGTCGTTTGCGTTCTCTCCTGCAAAGTGACGGCCTCCCCTCTGTCCCTATGGTTCATTTGGGGTTTTGTGATGTTTCGAACAAGGCGGTCTCACACACGAGGACGATTGCATTGGGGCTTGGTGTTCACACAGGGGCCAGAGATTAAAAAAACAGGGTTCCATGTGAGTGAACTTTGGAAAAACGTGTCGTCGTTTTTCCTCTCCTTACACTAGGAATCGGATGCCGAATGCTGCATGGATGCGATGGAAGCCAACAGCACCTGCCTCGCCAACAGCCAGTGCACTCCAGGTAGGCAGTGAGTATGGTTGGGCCTGCATTTTCACACTCAGGCTGATCTGGGGGCGGTGGCTTTCTCTGTGGTCTCCTTTCCAGCGGCAAAGAGGCAGCAGGTCCTGGATGCGGCTTTTAAACCTCCCACCCATGAATCACGGTGAATGTTTTCACTCCACGAATTTGTTTGGAGCTTCCTTCCACTTTTTAAAAAATTCCTCCTGGGATAAAGGTTGAAATTAATCAAGCGATGCCCTCTTGTTAGGTTTTATTTCTGTGCAAGGCCTTCTAGATGCTTGGAAGGGGGGATTCTGCCCCCTTCCTCCTGCATTATTCCAAAACGGCAAGCTCCTGTGGTGTAAAGTTAAAAAAGTAGCACCTCTCTCCTTTTATTTCTTTCTCTCTGCCTTAAGGCCGTAATGAAACACATATTTGTTTGTTAAAATGTATTGGCTGCCCATCCCGCCGAGGGGCTCGGCCGTTTCATGGCACAGCGGTAAAACGGATGCTGGCAAAAGTTAACGTTTTAATTTTCTGTACCTTGCAAGGGTTAACTTGTCAAAAAAAGAGAGCGGAGGGGGGGGAAAGAGAACTTTTCTCTGTTTTGCTTTTTCTTTTCTTTTTTTAAATGCTGTCAAAAATCCCTGCCAGGGCTTATTTTTTCTTTCCACTTAAGTTTCCTAAACCACAAAAAAAACCCGGCAATGCTGATTTTCAGCACAAGGGGAGATGAAAGAACATGGATGCTCAGTTAGGGGTGAAAGAGGAGGCATGTATTCCTTCCTTCCTTCCTTCCTTCCTTCCTTCCTTCCTTCCTTCCTTCCTTCCTTCCTTCCTTCCTTCCTTCCTTCCTTCCTTCTTTCCTTCCTTCCTTCTTTCTTTCCTTCCTTCCTTCCTTCCTTCCTTCCTTCCTTCCTTCCTTCCTTCCTTCTTTCTTTCTTTCATTCATTCTTCCCCCCTCCCTCTTTCCTCTTTCCTCCCTCCTCACCCTTCCTGTCCTCACACCACGCAGGCTGCTACAGGCGGTGGAACGAAGACGGCAGCAGCAGCTGCGTGAAATGTGAGAACAACAAAACCCTCCCCGCGGCTCCAGTGTACAACCTGACGGACTGTCAAAACGGTGAGTTTTTCTTTGATGGCCTTCGTCTTCTTCTGCTTTTTTTTGCCCGTCGGGGCGGACTTGAGAATGCTCTCGCCGCTTTTCCCCTTCTCGTCCAGCAGAGGGCAGAAGAGAGGCATTCGAGAGGTTCAGGATCCTGGGACGAAAACAGCCCAGGGTTCTAGTCCTCTTTTTTTTTTTTTAAGACGAGAACACAACACGGTTAAGAGCGCCTTGTCGATGGGATGTCTTTTGAAAAGCCCCTTGATCAACACCTTTATCTATTTTTATTTCGTTGATTAAATTCATATACGGGCCCTCTCGCCTCTAAGGCGGCTCTTTATCTCTGTTAGTCTTTCGTTGGGTTTTTTTTGATGAGCATCTCCCGGCCTCCAGTCTTTTCTTTTTCCTTCTGCTTTTGCGACAGAAGGAATACAAATTCCTGTCCACGCAGTGAATGCCAACATGTAGCTTTGGGAATTGGGATGGTTCCGCCTCTAAATATACTCAAGCAAAATCCGAGCAGTGGAATCGGGGGGAAAATAAGGAACCGCAAGTCTTGGAAGCAGCAATGGAGCAATCCAGCCGGCTTCGGGTTGACTTTGTTCTTTCCCCCTTCCCCAAATTTCTGGCTTCTTGTAGATGCAGCCAGGGAATTCAGTCCAGTGTCCAACATAACCACCGTAACCCCAGAGACCCTCGGCGTGGGTGAGTTAACACCAAAGAGCCTTTGGAAAGGGGTTTTAATAATAATAATAGTAAAGTTGGAAGGGACCTTGGAGGTCATCTAGTCCAACCCCCCTGCTCAGGCAGGAAACCCTATACCATTTCGGACAAATTCTCAACAAGAGAGTTTTCTGGCTATCATGACAGGTCGTCTTCAAATTACGGCCACGCTTGAGCTCAACCTTGAGCGAGAAGTGATTAAAAGTGAGCCTTGCCCCCATTTTATGACTTTTCTTGCCACAGTTAAGGGAATCGGCGCAGCTCTTAAGCTGCATTGGCTTTGCTCGTCAGAAGATCGCAAAAGGGGATCACGTGATCCCAGGACTCTGCAACTGTCCTAAGTCCATGCCAGTTGCTAAGTGTCTGGATTTTGTTCACTTGACCACGGGGATGCTGCAATGGCCGTTAAGCGTGAAAATGGTCCTAAGTCACTTTTTTCCGGTGCCGTTGTAACTCTGAACGGTTACTAAACGAACGGATGTAAGTCGAGGACTGCCTGTATGGAATCATTTCTAGGATCTAAGAAGCGGTGAATGCTCCAACACTGGAAGTTTTTAAGAGACTGGACAGCCATTTGTCCGAAATGGTATAGGGTTTCCTGCCTGAGCAGGGGGTTGGACTAGATGACCTCCAAGGTCCCTTCCAACTTTATTATTATTATTATTATTAAGCCACTGATTAATTTTTTTATATATAAAAAAGGACATTCTGGGGCAGGAATTAGGGGGCGATGGGTCAGCGAGACACCGGCCTGTAAAGCTCTGGATTGATTTGCAAGGTTAGGAAAAGACTTTCCTTCCGTGAGACGTTTCTCCATTTTTTATTTTTTATTTTGGCTTTTTAGGAGGCCCAGAAGTCGCGGCTTCCCTAATTTTGGGCACCTTTGTGATCAGCCTCTTCCTCATCCTCTGTGTTGCGTCCTTCTTCTACCTCAAACGTGCCAATAAACTCCCCAGTCTCTTCTATCGAAGAAGCAAAGGTAGGTTTGTCTGCCAGCGGTCTAGTCTAGTGAAAAGAAGGACTAAGGGAGACACGAGAGCGGTCTTCCAATATCTAAGGGGCTGCCACAAAGAATAGAATAGAATAGAATAGAATAGAATAGAATAGAATAGAATAGAATAGAATAGAATAGAATTTGATGTCAGGGTGCATAATTGAAACGGGCTTCTCTGTCATTCATTTCTTCTTCTTTTTTTTATCCCTTTCTGTGTTTCCCAGGGTCCATTGTACAGTCTGCTGAATCAGTAAGTACGGATCCATCTTTGGCAGTTTCTGGAATCTTGCAAAGCCTCCCAAGGGAAGAAGGCGGTTGGGGATGATGGGTGGGGGAGCTGCCACCGGTGGGAAGGTCCCAGCTGGCTCCTTCCGTCTCTCCCCTTCCTCTGATCTTGTTTTTTCACAGGGTGGTGGGTTTCAATCTAAGAAGATGCAGCCGTGTTGTTGTTGGTTTTTTTTAACTTGGTGGCAAATTTAAGATGTATGGACTTCAACTCCCAGAATTCCCCGGCCATTCTGGGAGTTGAAATCCACACATCCTCAAGTTGGCATCTTTGAACAACACCGGTCTTGATCATTGCAATCCCAATGAGAAATTACAGGAGGATGAGATCACCATAAATCCTTTTTTTTTTTTCCAAGTATGGGTGGAATCAGCTATCAGTTTTCCCGGGAAACTGGAACAGGGTGGGGTGGTTTACCTTAACAGAAGGCTGACTCGGACCAAACTTCATCTCGTTTTTCTCTTTTTAGGCATCCATGTTGTCCCCTCCTTCTTCAAGTAAGGATTTGTCTCTGTTCGTTTCTTTTTCTCTTCTTTTGTGCAAAAATGTCCTGGGTAACAAGGGCCATTTAAGCAGGAATAAATAAACCCTTGAGTTTTATTCAGAAAAGGCAGATAGGAATCCTGCAGGAGCTTTGGAAATCTTGATTTATTTATTTTTTTGTTTCGTTTTATCCTAAGAAATCTCTTCTCAACACAAAGCAGCTCTTTGTTTCTCTGGTCGGGGCATAACTGCAACCTGTTGTAAAGGTTCTCTCCTCTAAATAGCTCTGGTCTTTTCAAACCACACCGAGCACTGCAAGATTTTAACGGGTATATTTGGGGGGGAAAAAGAGCATTTTTGAGCGTGCCTCGCCAGGGCGCCTCCGTCAGTTCAATCTGCCTAAATTAATCCCAGGTGGGTTGTTGGTTTTTTTTGGTCTCTGCAGACTGCAACTGTGTGTGCCGCTTCGGGTGGCAGGTGACTGGAGCAGAAAAAATAATTGCAGTAGGGAGACAGGATTTCTTACCCTACCTCCCCTTTGTCCCCCAAATTGTCTTAATAAGCATGTGCAGTTGGAAGCTTACGCCATCCCTTAGGGAGCCCTTGTTTTCCAAATCAAAATATTGTGTCCTCCTTGTATATCGTTTCAGAAATGCAAGGGTTCCTCCCCACTTTCCTTTTTCAACACATGTTGTGTGTGTGTGTGTGTGAGAGAGAGAGAGATGGGATGAGCCAGTGTTGGAAGAAAAAGATACGGAAATCCTTTGGTCCCTAAAATGAAATTTAAACCGCTTTCGTGAGATTCGGGATAGAAACTAACAGCGTCTCTCTTTTGGCCCCAGTCCGGAAACCCCGCTACGTCCGAAGGGATCGTTCGCTCGCCAGCTCCACCACCAGCACGACTCTGTCCGCCGAGACCCGGGTCAGCAACGTGTAGCCGTCGGGACTTGTAAATACGAGAAGGGCAGCCATCGAGTCGCTGGGAAAGCGCCTAAGAAGAGAATTGGTGGCGGGGGGCCAGCCGGCTTTCGTGCGAGGAGCGGACTCGTACCCGATCGGCAGGAAACGGGGACTCCAACGTTTGCTTAGCCCTAGGAGACGGGCGTTTCGGACGACCCTGGTTGCCAAGCCCCTTCGCTCCGGACCCTGTAATTTCTCCGGTTGGGCCAGCAGGGAACCGCCTGGAGGAAATGGCCGTGCTTCAAGGGAAACTCAAGTGCCATATTTTGGGGGGCGTTTTTGGAAACAAAACGGCACCCTCTGCTTTCCGGAGGGGATGGGTGTGTAGGGGGTTCTCTCAGACGCGGAGTAGGCTGCTCGGAAGCACATCGCCTCCCTTCTTCCCGTTGCGTCATTTTTCCTAGAGTTTGACCGAGGCCTTAAAGCTCAAGGCAGCCTTGCCGCTTTTGAGCACTCAGATTGGTTTGATTCTCCCTTTTTAGCTTCTTCGCACCTGGGAAAGACCCAGTCAGGTTCCCCCTCTTTTTGTAAAGTCCTTGTCTGCTCCCTGAGTTTTTTCGGGGGGCGGCCACACCCCAGCTTGGACGGGCCTGCCCCGTCTTCCCCGCGACCCCACTTGGAAGCCCCCAGTTAGCTCTTCAAGGGGTCAGCAGCTCACCCCATGCTCTCCACTGGCCAGCAGGGAGAACGGGGGATACTTGGGAATAGAGGTAGTCCTCAACTTACAACAATTCATTTAGTGACTGTTCGAAGTGACAGCGGCACTGTAAAACGTGACTTAGGACCGTTTTTCACAGTTAGGACCTTTGCAGCATTCCTGTGGCCGCCTGATTTACATTCGGATGCTTGGCAACTGGTTCAGACTTATGACGGTTGCAGTGTCCCGGGGGGTGACGCGGTGATCCCCTTTTGCGACCTCCTGACGGGGGAAGCCGGATTCACTTAACAACCGTGTTGCTAACTTAGCAACTGCAGCGATTCACTTAACAGCTGTGGCTAGAAAGGTGGTAAAATGGGGCAAAACTCACTTGACGAATGTCTCGTTGAGCAACAGAAATCTTGGGCTCCGTTGTCGTCGCAAGTCGAGGACTGCCTGTGCTCTCTCTCGGCGTCTAGGTTGGTGCTCCGTAAAACTAAAATCTACATCCTTCAGGCAGGTCCCAAACCCGTCAGTGGGGATGACTTCGCTTGCTGAATGAGGATGGGGGTCTCTGCTTTACTCAACAAGCCATCTTTCTCTCTCTCTCTCTCTCTCTCTCTCTCTCTCTCTCTCTCTCTCTCTCTCCCACCTGCACGCCGTGCAGATTCCCTAATTCAAATCCGTCCTTATGCAAACCGAAGCGGGCCAAGCCTTTAACTCTCCCAAGGCGATACAAAGCAATCCAGCGACTTCAAATTGCCCCCAAATGATTCCTCTGTGGAGGGTTCCTTCCATACTTTTTTTTTAAATTTGGGGTTGGTCTTGATTCAAGAAAAGTTAGCTAGGAACTTAAGAGAGCTGCACCCCTTCCCGTAGGCCAGACGTTTGAGCCAGACCACAAGAACGGGCGTTGTAGAAGTCACAAGCCTTCCCTCTTTCCCCCCCCCCCCACTAAACAAGGATGTTGTGTTCTCCTCGCCTTTGCTTTCTGTCCAGGCCTGGGTGCTTGTGGCCTTCCTGGAGTTGTCAGAATACAAATCCCACCCTTAGCACTGGTCACGCTAGCTGGGTTTACAGGAGTTAAAATCCAGAAGCCTTTGGCCAGTTACAGGTCCCCTAATTTCGTGGCACGTGCACCTCCCATCCCTTTTTTAAAAAAAAAAATAGCATTTGTCGCTACTGAAGTTGCATGGTTGTTATTTTAGATCCTTTCCTTCCACTGGGCTCGTTAGGATCCCTGTTGTGGGGAAGGGGCTTGGGAAAAGCCTGTGGATGTCCTGATATTCTTTTTTTTTTTTTAACTCCTTCCGATTGACCGAGATTCTATGCAATGAAACCACACAATCTCCTTACACACCGAAGCCAGACCTTTCGTCCCCGGTGGCATTCGTGGCTTGCTTTAGCTGGGGTTGTTTTGGCTTCCTCTCCGGACACAATTTTAGCAAAAGCCCCAACGCTCTCTCGTTTTGTTGCCTTGTCCTGTTGTTTCAACCCTCAAGGACACGTGTCTGGGATTCCTGACCCCGTAGCAAGTTTGGGATACGTTTCCCATTCCAAGATCGTAGTCGCCAGCCAGTTGCATCCAGACCGAACTGTAGAGGGGAAAATAGTTTTGCTCTTTCAGCAGGAAAAAAAAGGTGAATTTTTTTTTTTTTTGAAGTGAGCCATTGAAACCAAAACACTGGAATAGATAGATTTATAAAAAAAAAAAAAAAAATCCTTCGCACCGTTTGTGTCAAATGCAAAATGTGTAGCTTTGTATATACCTGTTGGTTTGTTTTTTTCCACTCCATCCTTTCAACCCTCCCCTCAGCCTTGAATAAAAGCACACCGGATTTGACGTATTTTTAATGTTCAACGATGACTGGTCTGGTGCTTTACTAACATATGGGGAGGGGGGCGCAATTTGGAATTACTGACATGGAGGGGGTCGGTTTGCCTTTGGAGACTGCCCCAAAGCTTGGTCTAATCGGCATCAATAAAAGCAGAAGATCACAGTTAATTTAGAAAGAGTGCAGAGAAGAGCAACAAAGATGATTAGGGGACTGGAGGCTAAAACATATAAGGAACGGCTGCTGGAATTGGGGATGTCTAGTTTAACGAAGAGAAGGCCGAGGGGGGACAGGATAGCAGTCTTCCAGTATCTCAGGGGCTGCCCCAAAGAAGAGGGAGTCAAGCTCTTCTCCAAAGCGCCTGAAGGCAGGACAAGAAGCAACGGGTGGAAACTGATCAAGGAGAGATGCAGCCTAGAACTAAGGAGAAACTTCCTGACAGAACAATTAACCAGTGGAACAACCTGCCTCCAGAAGTGGTGAATGTTCCAACACTGGAAGTTTTTAAGAAGAGACTGGACAGCCATTTGTCTGAAATGGTATAGGGTTTCCTGCCTGAGCAGGGGGTTGGACTAGATGACCTTCAAGGTCCCTTCCAACTTTACTACTACTACTACTACTACTACTACTATTATTATTATTATTATTATTATTATTATTATTATTATTATTATTTAGAAAGGGAGGCAGTTCCCTTGCAAGTTTTCTAAGCTCAGGGCTTCAAGAGAAAGGCAGTAAAACTTCCATACTACTCCCTGGCCGCTAGAGGGAGTGCTTTGCTCCGAACCTTTTGAGGACCGGCCTTTGGTGCGGTGCAGACGTGGTTATTTCTTAGCTGAAGGAAGCTGGGGGGGACCCCAAAGCTTGCGCCCCCTCTTTGGGATTCGTTCTAGCTGGTTCGAATGACAAGAAATAAATGAATGAAGATCGCAGCCAGCCAGGATGTGAGTGGTGTGGTCTGCCCAAAAAAATTCCCCATCTTGCTTACCTCTGGAACTCCTTGCCACAAAGCCTTGCGATGGACGCTCCCTTTAGGTGACTTTAAATTAAACAGGCTGGGAAATATTGATGGCCTGACCAGGACTCCCCAATATTTGGTCAAAGAAGAGACTTGGACAGCCGTTTGTCTGAAATGGTATAGGGTTTCCTGCCTGAGCAAGGGGTTGGACTAGATGACCTCCAAGGTCCCTTCCAACTTTATTATCATTATTCATTAGACGTGAACCTCAGTCAACTGAGCATTCAAATTGACTGGCGCTGATGGTTGACACGGGTTGCTGCCAGCATCCTAGGTATCAACCAGGTACCTCATTATTATTATTATGGATCATCGCACAGTCAGCCAGATGTTCAGACTGGATTTGGCATTTTTGTCTGCCTCTTGAGTCCTTCGCAAGGACCTGGGATAGGCAGATGTGAATGTTTGATGTTATTACAGATATCGTCGCAGGATGGAAGCGGTTCCCAGTAAGGCCGCCTTTTGCAATTGACTGATGGCGAATGTGTCAATGCCAATGGTGTTCAAGTGGTTATTATTATTATTATTATTTTATTAGGGTCTTACTTGGTTTCATTTCAAGCCAGCTGGACCCTTCCAAATGGACACTTGGCTTAGTTTGAGCTGCCTTCCCCCCTCCCCAGCCACAGATCCCATTTTTCCTAGGTTTCAAACTAGCTTACCTGGCCTGGATATTGACCTGGGCAATTTTTCTACAAAAGCGTCCTGCCTGGGGAATTCTGGGAGTTGAAGTCCATGCATCTCAAAAAGTTGCCAAGGTTGAGAAACGGTGCTTGAACCCAATACTTATCACACTGATAATAATATTTCCTAGCCACGTGCGATATTGCTGGAAAACGGGGGGCTTTTTTAGGACCTCTCCATAAAAGATGATTGTCCATGCAATCAATCCCGAATCCCAAAACGAAGCGGCATCAGCACACAAAACGGGCACGTTTTACCCACTGGATAATCTGCGACTGTAATAAAGTCCAACCAATCTGAAGGTGAGCTGATCTACCCTCTTTACAGCTTTCGTATTTTCAGGGCACAATTCCGTGTGGAGTCTTCTAAAATCTCAGCAGGTGTAGGAATGGAAGAATCGTCAATTCGCCAGGAAAAGCACCAGGAAGAGTTGCGCCTATCCTTCGCACTTGGGCCTTATTTTATACAAAAATGTCTTACAAACTGGGTGAACTGAAGCGTGTTTCGTAACTATGACAGGAACAGACAGTCCCACTGGACCGAATAAACTCCAGTTCTGTATCTAGCTAGCTGAGAATAAATACTTCGACCCAAAAAAAACCCCCACCAATTATAATTTGTATTATTATTTTTTGTTGTTGTTATCCTGGCTTTGCTCCCCAACAGCTGTTGTTCTAAATGACTCGCCAGCAAATCTATAACAATCTAGGATTTCTCTGGAAAAATCATGCAAAAATGTGGCAGGCTGGTGAATTGCCTCGGCTGAACCTTTGCTGCTGGAATTGCCGCGAAGAAGGAATTACGGTGGTGGCGGTCGGAAAGGAA